AAAAAAATACAAATTTGCTTACTTTTGGTAAGGTCTGTTAATTAAACTTAGTTAAAATTGATGGCATTAGCTAAATTAAGAGAAAGTTTGCTCGAGATAACAAAAAAGAATACTATTACCATTAAGTTTTTGCTGAAGTGCTTCCACTGTCAGATTGATAGATAGGCCTTAGAGTTTTCAAAAGACTTACTTAAATTTCAGACTTAAAGAATTAAAATCTATGTTTGTTCAGTATTCAACTTTTTTCGATTAGTTTAATTTTCAGAAAGAAACTATTTCAGGCAGAAATTTCTTAAACAAACAAAGTGATATTCGTCACAGAAGAGACGCTTTCACACTGTCTATTACTGGTGACTTGCCTGGCTGTTTTCCTAGTTAGTGTTACTTCTGTTTCCCGAAATGGATGGTAACTTTGTTGAATTCACAATATTCTTTGCAAGAGGGCGACATTATAAGACACAGAGACATTTTTAGGGGACCGAGTTACTGCAGTTTTCTCTGCACCAAACTAAAGACTTTGGAGGATTGCTACAAAATGGTGGAAGCAACAGTGGGACTGAGTGAAAGAGTTGCTGAGAAGAAGAAACCGGTCGAGAAATAGAGAGCACGATGGAGATAGAAGAATCGAAATCATTTTCACACTTAAAGCTTTTTACCTAAGATTAAAACGCTTTTAACATCTGTTTTATATTTTTTTCTGCGAAATAAAACAGGAATTAGCAACATCTTTTATCAACATTTCTTTAATTTTATAAATTCTTGAATTTTAGTTTGACATAAGCTTGAATCCTCCTTTCAGCCTTTGCTTATGAATACATTTGAATGGTTGAAATGGCTCTGACAAAGGCTTAAAAACGAAACAGAATTTACGAAAACTACCTTGTTTACGGTGAAATCTCCAGTGCTGGCTTCGGAGATTCCTCGCTCATTTCATTGGGTCGTTGGGCTCAGTGGAATGAGCGTGGGTTTTTGAAGCAGCAAACTGAAGTTCGATTCCAACCAAGAGTGGTTCGATACAATTAGGCAGCACCCTTGTGGAAATAATTTTTGCCCTGTCAGCCTTTGCTTTATGATTATATATAGTTGTTTTCGAGTATAGAGTTCTAGACGTATGTTTTTTAATTTGATTCAATATATAATATAATCCAAGATATTTTTTAATTCTAGTACCAAGTAAAGACACTTTAGCAACTCTTCGGACACATTTGCTGTTTGTTGATATTGAATTAAATGTTTCTTAAAGTGCTTTAGACATGATTATTTTATTCACTCTAACATCGGACATGACATTGTTTGTGCGTTGGTCGGTTTCATTTCGTAAAATCTTTGAAATTTCGCAATACTGAACTTTATCAAGAAGAAGTCTGTGCTCTATTTCGTCAAACACTTTCTTTAGATCAACGAAGATTGACACAGTATATTTTACCCGGATTTATATCAGAGTGCTATCGCTAATGCTGAAGTCCGTTCTGATCAAAGAAAAGTGTTTGCTAGAGGTGAGATTATGTAGAAATTTCATAATGTTGTATTGAATTGACAAAAAGTTTTAAGTGACCTTTGAAATGAATTAGTTAAACAAAATTTTGCTGAAACAGATGTAGCAGATCAGACATAAACGCTGATTTCCAATTTTCCTGATCACAAGCAAATTTTCTAAATTATTCTTTTTGTAATCAAGAAGGGTAATTGTATTTCACTGCAGGTAGAAAACCTATCGATTGTAAAAAATGAATTCGAGATTAAGTAAAAAAGTGTGTAAAAAAGATTAAGTTGCTGTGATTAAAAACGTTGTGATCTCTTCAAAGTAGTTAAAGAAGCATTTGAAAGAAAAGGAAAATGTTGGAAGAAAAATAAAAAATAAAAAGTGATTTCTATTGAATGTCAAACATTTCGCTTCGGACTGTCAAGGAAACACGTACTTGATTTACACAAGTCAACTCTTCTAAAGACACTAGGCTTGATTAGAACAGCTTGTTCAACGAAAATCGCAGCAAAAACTCTGCTGTGATACAAAAACGCAAAGTTAATACGTAGCTGTATTTTCATCTCATTGTTTCTTTTTACTTTCTGTTTTGAGCATTATATAAAACTCACTGCTGATCTACGGCTTACATAAATCAAAACAGTTTAAAAATGTTACTAACAAACTGATACTGTCAATAAGCATTTCTGATTTATGCTTTGAGACTCTTGCTCTGCCCGCCAAAGCTTTAGATACGCTACAAGAAATTACATTTAGTGTTTGGATCAAGGGAACAGCATTTTTGTTGACCCACTTTGCAAGTTTTAATTCTGGTCGTTTACTGATCTGTATTACTGTCGATCGTTATAATCACACCTCTAAACAAAGACTATATCAACCCGATGTAAACGGGCGTCGTTTGGTTATCCTGCTCACGGCATGCATTGTAATTTCCTCCAGGTTGTCAACAGCGTACAATTTTATCAACAAATCCTTTCGGCAGCAATTTGAAATTGCTATTTAGAATATGTCTGGATTAGCATCGGTATAGGCGATTATGTATCGAGATCCGCAAAAGCACCGTCTTATTGCACAATTTCGATTGCATCCAATCACCAATACCCGTACCAAAAGCAAAAACAACACTCACAACAACATTAACAGCTACAACAACAACAACAATAACAGCAACAATAACAGCAACAACAACGGAAAATGCAAAATGGTGATTCCCGAACCGTGCAATTTTCTTACTTGCGATGAATTCGCTTGGTTTTGGTGGAAATTTTTAATTGTTATTTTCTGTATAATTAAAACTTGCAATTAGAATAAAAATTTTGAAAATATCAAATGAAATCACTCACCACCAGGTGAAAAAAGTGAATCCAGTTTATTCCGTGGTTCTTCATCTTTTTCTGTTATTTTTTCATCAAACGAACAGAAATATGCACCTTCTTCAATACGCAAATGCATAGCACAAGTGCAAGCATATCTTTCTTGCAACTAGGCAGTGCTATTATCAGGCCAGCGTAGCATTCTAATGTTTGTTCCTTTTGGGTGGCAGCTCAAGTCCATGCAATCAATGCTTATAACCCTCATGGGGATCCTGCATTGCCTCATTTAGGAGTTTTCCTGTACGAGGAAATTTCTTTTATTATAATCATACCAGAGAATAAACAGGCCGCATTGAACTTATGCAACGCTCGATAAACATAAGCTCTTTCCTATCTATGTACTATGTAAAACCTAATAAACTTGTTTTGACAAAGAAGTAAAGCTGAGCTAATTAAAAGGTTTCAGGGGCGCTTCAAAATGAATTGACCAAACTGAGATTTTTAAATCTTTCTAAAACAGCGGTAGCAGGGTAAACATTAAATGCTGATTTTAAACAAATCACAAATTGTTGGTGACAAACAAATTAGAAGTTTAATATGAAATTTAAAATAAGTTTACCTCAACAAGAACGTTATTTTCACTTAAAGCGTAGCAGGGAAGGGAAGTTTTGTCATTTCCGACTGTCAAAAAGAAAATTATTGTTCTTAATAATTTTAAAATTGTGAACTTATAGACATATCCAGCAAGACAATTTCATTCGATTAAAGAAACTCGAAATAGCTTGATCAAAGAGAATTGCAGCATCAACTCAGCACTGGTACAAAAATGCAAAATTGGTACGTAGCTATATTTATCTCTGCTGCTTTTATAATCCTCTCTCTTCTAAACATCACATCAAACTCTTTGCTGATCTATGGACTACATAAATCCAACCAGCTCAAAAATGTTTCTAACAAGCTTATAATGTCAATGAGCATCTCTGATTTATGCATTGGAGTTCTTGTTCTACCTGTCCAGGCTTTACATGCGCTGCCAGAAATTACACTGGATGCATGGATTATGAGAACAATTTACTTACTCACACATTTGTTGACCGTAAA